CGCGCAGCGCCAGGTAGAGCCCGCCCCCCTCCCCGGCAGGGCCACATGCCGCCTGGGGCGCGCTCGGCTCCATGGCACCGCCCCGGCAGAGCCACCCCTGCTCCTCCCCCGGGCAGGGTCCTGCACAGCAGCCTCCCCAGGAGCTGAAATTAGGGGAGGTGTTCCAATTTACAAGGGGGTGTCAGGGCTGAGGGGTGAAACTGGCAGGGTGACGGTGGCTGTAGGGCACCATAGTTCACAAAATTGGGGGGGGGTTACACTCCCATGGGGGGAGGGGGTAGGGAAATCCCTGGTCCCGCATGGCGCAGGAGAGAGCTCCGTTCTTTGACAGCGGCCCTCTGGGCAGGGTCCCATACAGCCGGGACCATCCATCGGGCAGAGCTCTCTTGGCATAGTCCCCATTCCCATGCAGACCTAGGCTCTTCGACAGCCCCCTGGGCAGGGCCTCCAGAGCAAGCAGCGCAGGGACAGCTCAGTTCTCTGGAATAGCCTCTGCCCCCAAGATCTAGACAGTTGGGAGTCCAGGGGGGAGCTCACCCGATCTGTAACACTCTCCAGGGAGTAGACCATGCAATCCAGCTCTCAAGCACACATACACGCCCAAGCAGAACATGAGATATACACCCCAGCTCCGCCAAGCCAGTCATCTTTACACAAAAAACAGAAGTTTCACAACCTCAGCCCAGCCCTCCTGACCATCCCTGCATATGCACATCTACAGATCATCTACCGACATGCAGACTCCTGCAGGATACCTACAAACACAAATGCATAGATCCCATCCTTATGCAATATCTACACATAGCCAGCAAAGCATCTACACAAAAAGTACATAGCATAGCCTAAATGGAGAATCTACACACAGGCAAACCAATCTAGCACAATATAAACACATGCATATACACCTAGCATGTATCTGGTCAGCTTAACATAGTATTTACACCAGCTTTTTTAAGCGCAAGATCACTTTTTGAATTTAAGTGCCATCCAGGATCTACCTCAAACCTTAATACCCTTGCCCCATTTCCCTTTCTGCCCCTTCTCCAAGGCCCCACCCTGCTGACTCCATCTTGCCCCTCCCCTCCCACCCTCATTCACTTTCACTAGGATGGAGCAGGAGGTTGAGGTGCAAAGGGATGTGCAGTTTGTGTGGGAGGGGCTCCAGACTGAGCCTGGGGTAGGGGTGCAGAAGGGGATTCAGAGTGCAGGCTATGGAAGAGAGCTTGGGTGCAGGAGAGGTTCAGGGCTGAGGCAGGGATTAAGGATGTGGGCTGCAGCTGGACAATGCTTATGTTGGGCAGCACCCAGGCAGTGTAGCAGAGGGGCTAAAGCAGACCCACTTCCACCCTGGCCCCGCATCATTGCTGAAGGAATCTAGTATGTCTAGTAATGGTTCCTGAGAGGGAGGGGCAGGTGGCACCCCCTTCAGCAGGCCCAACCCCCCCCACATCCCATTGGTCATTGTTCCCCATTCCCAGCTAATGGGAGCTGCAGAGGAAATGCCTGCAGGCAAGGGCAGTGTGTGGAGACTCCCTCCCCTTCCCCAGGGGCCATAAGGACGGGCCAGCCACTTCTAGGAGTGCAGGGCCAGGGCAGGAGGCTGCTTCCTATTGTTATGGCTGCACTGTTAGTGGCTGATCTCCTGATTTGGCTGCAAGAGCCTCCAGGAGATTAAGCCCTATTCTGGGAAACTAGTGCTGTAATTTTCTCCAAAATCTCTCCTCTGGCCCATCCCTTCTCCAAGGCTCCACCCTGCTCACTCCTTCCTCCCGCCTTCCCCCATCCTCACTCACTTTCACCAGGCTAGGACAAGGGTTTGGTTCTGGTCTTGGGCTGAGGAGTTCAGAGTGTGGGAGGGAAAAAATTAGAGGGAATGAATTTTGTTATGTGCACCAATATTGAGGTGATGTGCAGCACTGTTGAAATTAAAATCCTAATAATTGATAATATTTTTTAAATTATCATGAGGATAATTAGTCCAGCCAGGACAGGTAGCTTTTTTTAGATTCACTACTCAAATAATTAATTTAAGCATCAGAGAGAAATAAAAATTATAAAATGCACAGACCAGTCAAAAACCTGAAATAAGACATTTTGAAACAAGTAAAAGAAGTAAAAACAACTCAAGGATGTGTTGGGCAGGGAGGTGAGTGTTAAGGACAGAGTGTGTTTGTGTGAGTGTTAGACACAGCATGGTGAGATTTATAGATTTGCATTACTCTTGTAAGTTTGCTGAGCATGTTCAGTCATGGCTTCCCCCTCTGCTGAGGCCCCACCCCTCACAGGGAGGAGATGGGGCAGCATGCTGGGGGAGGGGAAGAGAAGGAAGGGGGCAAGCAGGGGTGTGGCCCCCAGCTTCCCTAAAGCACCAGTGGAGGGAGGAGGGTGCACGGTGCATCTCCTGCCTCCTTGGAGCACCAAGAGATGGAGGAGGGTGCTTGATGCAGCCCCAGCATCAGGGAGGCAGGAGGCCGCATGGCTCCAGCCTCCCCGGCCAGGAGTATTGGCAGGGCAGGCACTGGGGGCGGAGTGTGAGGAGAGCCATGCCTGGCAGTTTGGGAAGGCAAAGTCTTCCCCTGCCTAGGCTACTGGACGCTTGTGTAGATTAGGGTTGCCAGATGATTTAACCAAAAATACCGAACACTCACCCACCCCCAAAAAATACACCGGGGGAAAAATTCTGTTGAGAAAAAAAAAGGGGGGGGGGGAGACCAAAATTATTAAGCAAAGAAAAATTAAAAATTAAACACATTAAAAACCCCAGCATGGCCCCTTTAAGAAATGCCTGAAACACAACCATCTGCCATCTTGTGTTCCTGCTCCGGGCCAGACAGCTCCCCTGCGGACCCAGGTAAGCACCCAGGATTTTCACCTCCTGGCCGGGGAAAAATCAGAAAATACCAGACATTTTAAGTGTCCAGTATTTTCTGATTTTTTTTACCAGACAGGGGGCAAAAATACCAGTGTCTGAGTGAATACTGGACACCTGGCAGCCCTAAGAGATGAAGTACAGGCATGGGAGCAGGGGACACCTTGACATCTGTGCTCCCCTCCTCTGCCTTCCCCACCCTACACAGCAAGCAGGTGGCTCCTGGGGGTCAGCTCCAAGGGAGAGGGCAGGAGAAGCACAACGTGGGGAGAGAGACAACTGAAGAGCCAGCACTTGATAGCCTCCCATCCAGACTAGTCCAAGATCTGTACACACAACATAGGACAGCTTGTTTCCTTAAGACTTAGGTCATTCAAACTCAAATATTGAGTTTCCAGGAGTAGCCTAATACAAGGCTCAAAAAAGCTGTTTTTCAGGTTTAGGCACTATTTTCTGAGAATGCACTGCTCCTATTGCAAACAGCTAAGGGGAACTCCACAAATAGCTAACTAAGGCAACCTGATAGAATCACAATTTCAGTATTTTAACACCTTAATAACTAACAATGTCAAGGGCATTTTCTACTTTTTGTTAATCAGAAATATTAAATGATATATCTATAATTACCAAATTCAGCTAGGAAAATATGAGAAAAATAGCTAATTTTTTTTACTGGGGGAGCTTTTTTTACAGTGATGTTATTGTATACAAAACTGTATACAATCCCCCCATACTCTTCTGTAGACTAAATAAACCCAAACCCCTCAGCCTCTCCTCATAAGTCATGTGCTCCAGCCCCCTAATCATTTTTGTTACCTTGGCTGGACTTTCTCCAGTGTGTGCACATTCTTTCTGTAATTGGGAACCAGAATTGGATGCAATACTCCAGATGTGGCCTCACCAGTGCCGAATAAAGGGGAATAATCACTTCTTTAGATTTGCTGGCAATGCTCCTCCTAATGCACCTCAATATCCTGTTAGCTTTCTTGGCTACAGGGACACACTGTTGACTCATATCCAGCATCACGTCCACTGTAATCTTCTGGTCTTTTTCTGCCTAATTGCTGCTTAGCCAGTCAATCCCCAGCCTGTAACAATGCTTGGGATTCTTCCATCCTGAGTACAGGACTCTGCACTTTTCCTTGTTGAACCTCATCAGATTTCTTTTGGTGCAATGTCCAATTTGCCTAGGTCACTCTGGACCCTATCCCTAACCTCCAGCATATCTACCTCTCCCCCTAACTTAATGTCATCTGTGAAGTTGCTGAGGGTGCAAACCATCCCCTCATCCAGGTCATTAATAAAGATAAACTTAAAAAACAACAAATGGTCTTTGTAGACGGTATCATGAGCTTTTGTGAGCACAACCCACTCCATGAATGCTCATGATCCCATCTACATGTTTTGTTAGTCTATAAAGTGCTACCAGACCATTTGTTGTTTAAGTTTATCCTGTACAGCAGTGTTTCTTAAACTTAGTTCCGCGGCACACTGGTATGCCACAGGGCAGTCTGAGGTGTGCCACGGCAAACAACAGAGTTTAAAATGGCTGCCCTTAAAAGGGCAGGCAACCTTTTTTTTCTCAATAACTTCCCCTCGACCCGTTTTTTCCCGCCGACTTTTTGTTGTTGTTGTTC